AGAAAATTGAAGATTCAGATTCAAAAACGGTGAAACCCGTCCAGTGGGACCTGAAACGAGATTCAGGGTGACCGTGTGGCGGGGCCTGACAGCAATCAGAAGAGTAAGCCACCGGCTTCGGGCTGTGAAGCGGCCTGGGTCGGAGAAAGAGAATAAACAAGAAATTGCAAGAAGCACGACTACCAGAAACGCGGGGAGGGAAGGAGTCAGGACTCAAGGTCCAAATGCAACAAACTCAAGGTCCACAACGAAACAGTATGTCCTCCAGCTTCTAGCCAGGAAACGGCCAGGCTGACCCAGCCCGGCCTGGGAAAGCAAGTTCCCATCCAACCCACCAGGCACCAGGCACCTTCCATGAGGTGGAGGTGGGAGAGGGCTTGCGGTTCAGAGGGGCCTGGAGGACAGAAGGGTGGGGAGAGGCAGCCCCCTAGTGGCATCCACATGACAACGCACAACTCCCTGGTGGGCGTGCAGAGGTTCCAGGCGACTGCACTCACTCCCAGTGGCTGGAGAGGTTAAGGTTGGGGATCCTCAGTGTCTGGGGAGACAAGAAGCTCCCCCTGGGCCAGAATAAGCCCCTGGGGTGAGGGAGCAGGAGGGAGCAGGAGAGAACAGGAAGGTCCTGGGAGTGGGCAGCAGGACCCAGTCATGTAACCAGCCCTGTTGGCTCAGGCCCAGCCCTCGGGCACACCGCTGCCCAGGAGGGCATGAGAGCCCTGATTGATCCCTTCCTGGAGAGCAGCAGTGGGACCTGAGCGCTGGCCTGGCCGGGAGCCTGTGGGACCGGCAGGGCTGAGCCCAGGAGCATCTGCGTCAACACCAGGAAGACAGATAAGCCCAGCCCAGCCCAGTGGCGGCATTGGGTGAGGGCACCCAAGATATGGCTGGGGGAAAACAGGGCAGCTGACCAGGCCACCCAGGGCTCAAAGGCCCATATGAGACCCAGACTAGGGGCCCCGGGCTCAATGCCGGCCTTGCAGTGGAGGTGCGGGTGAAGTGGGGGTGGGGAGTGCAGTTCCCTTTTCCTGGAGCCCAGACACACCAGGGCCTGTTGGCCTGCCCTCAAGAGCACCACCTCCTCATTGGTGCGATGGCCAGTCAAGGTGACCATGTGGTGGGGCCTGAAAGCAATCAGAAGAGTAAGTCAAGGAATATTCATGCCTCACCTTTCCTCCAGGTTCCTGGGGGAGGCTGGCTGCACAGCTGGGCCGGACTGGGAACGGGGAGATGACCTGGGTGGGTGGGTCCTCTCTACTGAGCAGTGTGGGGGCTGGTTCTGGCCCTACAGAGATTCCTGGGGTGCCCCCTGGACAAAGTCCTGGATGGCCTCTGAAGGTCTCATCATCCCTGACCCTCCTGGTGGAGGGGGGTGGTTCCCCACACATCTGGGGGCACAGGCCTCCACCCCTGCCAGGCCGCTGTACAGTTTGGACAGTGCTCCCTCCTGGCCCTGGGTGGAAGTCCCCACTTCGACACTGATGGGCTCCTGGGGACAGTCAGAATAAGAGATGCCAGCAGATGCGAAGAGAATGAGGACGGTGCTGCCCTTAACCTGGCTGCCTCCTGCTCCAGGAGGAATTCCTTGGACCCTTCTATTGTGCCCCCACTCCCTTGTAGGAGCAGCGAGCAGCCAGCCATCTCTCAGTCCCTACCCCACACTGGCCCTCCCTCCCTCATACCTGATCCCCATCAGCGCCTGCCTCTGGAGAACCTCGGAAACAAGCAAACAAGCGAGTCCTTCCCTTTTTCCTCTAGGGCAGCGGTTCTCAACCTGTGGGTCGCGACCCCTTTGGGGGTCGAACGACCCTTTCACACAGGTCGCCTAAGACCAATGGAAAACACTATATAATTGTATATTGTTTTTGTGATTAATCACTATGCTTTAATTATGTTCAATTTGTAAC